TAGAAGGGCTGATTCATGGCCCAGCAACACAATTCAGTTTGCGCTTGTTCATTATTTATAGAAATCAGAAGCATCCATGTTCTGGCTAGATCAAGTTACAAGAGCAATGATGGAAGAAGGGTTACTGTTTCAAATTAGGCAGGGGCTAAGCAGACTTGCTGGAGACCACAGTACTTGAATGAACGAATTTAATGCATTCTCCTGCGTGTTAACGTGAGTGTTCACTTTTGGGAAGGTCATGGGTGCTAAAATTTCCTTTAGAGGAACTTACACACTGGCGGTGAATAGAAATGACTAAGTCAATGTCTCTCAAGGACAGCCAAGAAAATCGTAGGTTAGGCCACATAAGTGGGATATTGTGGAGAAGAGCAGCTGGAGTCAGAGACCCTGCTGCCTGGTTTCATGCGATATGTGAGCGCAGTCAGGACGAGGACCCTTGCAGGGTTTTGCTCAAGCCTTATTCATATCCCAGATATCTTTTTAATCATACACTGTAACATAGCAGTGCTGTGGCATTTGAATGATTATGTCTTTTTGGCTACGTAGCAATTTAACTTTATAATTGCTGGGTCTGCATTTTGGTAGCACTCAAAGTCTACAGCCAAAGATCAGGATGTAAAGCATTTCACATCCATAGGATGAAGACAGTTGTTTCTGCAGTGGCCTTATGGCAGGAAAGGGTAAGAGCTTGGTACAGCAGCAAGGTGAGGAACCTACGTAGTCTTAAATGTTTTGTCCCCAAGTTGGGAAGGGCTGAGTAGCATCAATGTGAAAGTTTGCCAGAAGATCACCAGCGTGTTGCTTGAAACAGCTGACAGCAGCTTGGTCTGAGCAGCCTGACACCTGCATTGGCAATGGCATCGCTTTCCCTTCGTGTGCCAGTAAGGACAGTGCCTCTGAGAGCTCCCAAATGCTCCTGAAATCAGACAGGTAAGCCCATCTTCAAGTGCTCCATATTAGACGAGCCCATGGAGGTAGTGGGGGCCAAGGCTGGCCTTTGTCCCTTGTCCACTCACTCCCTCTGGATATGCGTCATTTTATGTTTCAGTCAGAAAAAAATCTCAGCTCTTTAGGCTGCTTGGTTAGTAACTGTGATGGCACCTCTAGGTGAATCTGTAGACACAAAGTCTACAGTGATGATCTACTTATTTTGCTTGTAAAAGGTAAAACAAAGGCCAGCGATTTGTCAAGTTAGTACCTGGGGTGTATCTCATCCTTTGGCTCTGTGCAGCCAGAAGAGTTTAGCTACTCATCCTAAGTTTGATGCCTAACTAGAAACCCTGGAGATGCAAGTAGATCTTAGTGATATCACTGGAACAGCAGAGATGCCATAAATAGGGTGATAATTCTAGCAAAGTCCCTATGCACAGCAGCATTTCTTGGTCAGCTCCAGGTTTTGGGATACACTGGGCAATACAAAACGTGGGGCTGAGCGTTTCAGGTGGGATTCAGATAGTTAATATGGTCCTAACTGAGAAAGTACTGTCAGGATTTTTCTGCTTGTGTATTTCTTTTCTGTGGTGTGTGTATCTCTCTCTCTCCACCTTCCCCCCCCCCACCGCTTTTGGCCAGAATGACATTATTCGTCCTCGTTTGCAGATGTATTATTGCTTTGAAGTGTCAGCATGAGCTCTGTGATATGGGGACAAGATAGTGTGGCTACTTCATGAGAACATTTGTCCAGAATGGGTCCCAGGGCGCTCTCCCAATGAATAAACTCCTGCAGTGATTACCTGCTTAATTATTAAATATGGCAATGAAACCATTACACTGTTAGTCCCCCAGAAGATCCTAATACCTAACTACTGTCCAGAGCTAATTTTCTGAACAATAATTTAATACCCAGCACAGATAAGCTGCGTACTTAGATTGAATACAAATGATGTTTCAGTGACATGAATTATGGCCTTATGCTGAGCATCACTATGGCAACTAATGACATCACCGCAGGCTTCAACCTGCACAAAACCCAACTTCTGAGGGTCTCTATTTGTTGGCGCAGATCTTTTCAGGACTTTTGGGGGTATGAATATGTAAGCACCACAGTGTTGTCAAGGGTTTGCTATGTATGTTTACTGTCATTTGAAACATTTATTCCCTTTGTGGTTAATGTTGTTCTCATGAAGGAAACCTAATGAAAATTACTGTTTGTATTTGGTTAGTAACATTTGTTGATAACATATGGTCTGGGAATGCTTCAGCAAATAAGAGCTTTTTAATAGTAAACAGAGATATGAGTTCTATAAAGCAGATGCTGTCAAAATACACAGCGTAAGGTTGGATATTTTCTTACTTTTGCCTCTTACCCAGAGCAAGATTGTCTTCCTACTTTCCCTGCTGGTGACAACACAGTTTTTTTAAGAGAGAAAACATAACCTGTGACCTGAAGCTGCAATTAGAAAATAAGGTTGTTTCTTGGTTCTTATGTTTAAAACATTTACTAGGTAGCTGATGGCTCACACATGAAAAAGATCTGATAGTGAGGATCTGAGAGGACCTGTAATGCTGTAGATAATTTATGCCAAACCTCTGCTCCCTGGCACTGGTGGCAGTTTGATGCATCGACATAAAAGGTGAAACATGTGGAACAGAGACACAGGGAGAGAAAACTTCAGAGCAAAGCTGAAGAAGAACTGAGTTCGTTAATCAGTTCTGCACTGAACACACTCATCTGCTAAGCTCAGTTGGACAAGATTTGCTCAGTGGAGAGCAAAGCGTAAACCCATGCTCCGTGTGCACAGGAAGGAGTAAATTATTTTTCCCAATAACTTTCCAAATGCAAAACCTGCTGTTTGGTATTTATGTTTGAAGAACATCTGGTTGCTGGACCACATGTCATCTGAGCCTTTTCCCAGTCATTTCAAGGTAGCTGCCTTTCTTCATCAGAGGATCTGGTTTCAGGACAGTGTAAAATGAGAAAGTGTCATTAATAGAGTAAGGGTGAATAGAAGTGGTTAGTGAGATATGGTATAAGCTCTCATCTGACTTGCAGTATTCTAGGTTGCAGTGTGTGTTCCACCACATCACTTGGAGATGTTGCTCATGGCACACTCTTGGTTTCTTCTAGTTTACAAATAGCACCATGTCTGTGATTCTTCTTCAAGCTTGCTTTATACACTTTGCGTGAGTTTTGAAGTGTGATGAATTTTCAGGGTCTCTGGGAACAACACAGAAATCTAGCTCACAATGAATTATAAAAAAAAGACAAAGAGAACAAAAAAAAGAAAAAAGAACAGGTTTTATCTGCTAGCTTCATGTTGGGCCTCTGCAGGATCGGATGTTCAGGAGCATCCTCCTTGCAGCGCTGCACTCTTCCCCAGTCCTACCTCCGCCCTTCATCTTTGCCTGAGCTCATCTCTGCTAACAAGGGAAAGTGCAGTTTTAGGAGTACTTTGCTTAGCTCTGTCTGGAAGTTTCTGTCTGGCTTTATTTTAAAAAGTTTCTAACTTTCTAAGCTGTAGAAACAAAGCTTGAAACACAGCTGTGAAGTCTCAAACATAAAAGCATCATGACTTTTTACCCCTCAGTGTAGAAGGTATTCTCTGTTACTTTCAAGATTGTTTAAAGCTTACAAATAGGCATTAGTTTAAGTTCCACTTAATTTTTGTTTCATGACCCTCTTCAGTCTGTGCCTGTTTGCCAGAGGGGACCGTTTTCCTGTATCTCAAAAACCTTAGCCCAGGTGAGTAATTGGATGTGTTGGTGTGAGTGGCACCGCTCGTGGAGGCTCTTCATGAGCTTATTTGAAAAGCCGTGGTGTTTCACGGGTTTCTTTTCCCTATGATCTCTCTAAATCAAAGCTGACTGCGGTGTAAGGTCTGGGTATCCTTAAGAGAACCCCACGAGGATGCTCGCCAGCGCAGCTCCAGCTGCAGCACGCTGCTCGCTGGGACGGGAACAGGGCCCAGCAGGAAAGTCCCTGAAACAGAGTGCAGTGAGCTGTGGTCAAACTGGGGCTCTGTGCTCAAAGCTTCCCCAAGTGTCTGTGTCGAGAGAGGAAACCTCTAGCGCAACAGGGTCAAGCCCATCACTGGACCTCCCTCCGGAGGGCTGCGGGGCTGCTGCGGGTCCCACACTCGTGTGGGGAAGGTCACCTGTGGGGTGGGCTCCCCTTGTACGACTTAAACCGGCAAGTTTGGCCATAGGTGTGGCTGGGATCCTGCGCCTGCAGGGTTCCACGTGGAATGAGTTCATGTTCTCTGCACGCTTGGGCAGCTCATGGTTGCAGGAGCTTGGAGATGTCCTCTAGAAAACATGCATATCTAGAGGGGATTTTCACATACTGTGGGTCATTCAGCCTCCGTAGTGCTCCTTTCCGAGCCACAGGACCAGCCAGGGGATGACTCGTGGAGTACAAATAGCAGAAGGTGGTCTCGGTTCATTGCATAGTTGGAGAGGTTGCCACTTCCTCGCCACTGCCGTCCTACCCCCAAGGAGCTGGTGTCCTGCTCTGCAGTCCCAGCACACTAGGATTACTCCAGACGTAATGGCTTGAACTTAAACCTGGGCTGGGCTGGAGGACTGGGCTCGGGCTTGGAAGAGGACCCAGGTTAAACTGGGGTTTCTTCAGAGAAAGCAAACCTCACTGTCAACCTAGAAAGGAGAGGTTAATTAGCCAAGAGAAGAGCAGAGGCATGAGTGATTACAGATGTCCTAGGTGCAGATGTCCTCGATCCTCAACTTCTGTTGTGACTATACAGGCTGTCGCTGCGGGAGACATATTGTTCTTTCTAAATAAAAAAAGTTCTCTTAAATTTGGTTTCATGCTGCTCCCAAATACTCTCTTTTTTTTTTTTTTCTCCCCAAAGAACCATCGTGGGTTTTCCAAACATCTATCCCACATTTCCCAAAGAAGATAATTAATGCCCTTGTCACTCAGACAGCCCAACCACTTCGGCTTGTGCCAGACAGGACATTTTCAATTAACCATTACACACCTAAGCAATAGTGCTGCTGACCTGCCAGTTGAGCTGAACATCTCTCTCTCTTTATTTTCACAGCTGGGGCACCCAAGGAGACTTCACAACAACACATGCGCTTCCTGCAGTGAAGGTGAAGCTGTTCACAGAGAGCACAGGAGTGCTGGCTCTGGAGGACAAAGAGCTTGGGAGGGTAAGGAGATTTTGAGTTTAATAATGTTTCCTTCTGGCCCTGCTTTTCTAGAGAAATCTCTCCTGTACGGAAATATCTTTGGAGCACAACATGCTCTGCTTTTTTGCCAAGCTTCGGGAGGGGGAAAAAGAAGCAAGCTCTCCACTGCTGGAAAGGAGTGCATCTCGCATGCTGTCTTTGTTGTGAGTTTTTAATGGCAGGATTTCAGCTGGCTGTGCCTGCACTGAGCAAAGGCAGAGGATCTTGTGTGCAATATTGGCAGTCCGGAAAGCCTTAGAAGTTGCTTACGGAAATGGACATTCCTGAGGCAGAAAAGGGGATTATGCTGAAGCAAAAAGAGGGGATTTAAGTTTGGCAAGAGAGTGTTAAGCTGCTCTCATATCTGCTGAGCAGCCGGTGCACGGTTTGAGCATTTGAAAGCACTGACTGCGGTACTCACTGCAAAGGACTCGAAATCCTGGCTGCCCCTGGGGATTGTGGCTGAACTGGTGGCTTCAGTGGGGCTGGACTGGGGAGTGAAACGTGGGGGTTCGTTGCCCCCATCAATGGTGTTAGTAGCAAAGAGCTCAGATTCCCAGGATACTGGCCGCAGAACCGACCTTCCCACCCCATCTCTGCCCCTCACCTGTGGTCTCTAAACCAGCACCCTGGGCCCAGTGGCCCTTCATCGCTGCAGCCCACAGCTCCCGAATATCTGTGGATGGCACTTTTCTGTGGCTTTGGGACACTTCAGTTACTCTCCGTGGATTTTTTGCAGCTGTATAATTTGTGTTGGCCCCAGGCATAAGTGGCAGCAAACCCCCTGCCATGCCTTCCTCAGCTCTTCAGGGGTGTGGGATCAGCATGGTGAAGACCCCATGAAAATCACTTCAGGGTGAGAGAGGCTGCGCCTTACACGTGGGCTTGGAACCTCCCGTGTCACGGCTCAGCGTGGCCTGAGCGATCTCCAGGAGCAGCCTGGGCTCTGTCTGCCCAGCTCTGCAGCACACCTTGCTCTCCTCCCTGTCTACATGGCCATGGCCACAAAAGCGATGGGCAAGTAAGCCACTGATCCTGTGGCAAGCCCAAGTACGGTATTCCAATTATGGACTAATCTGTTCGGATGTTTCTTGCTAACTCCCGTGGCTCCTTGTGCCTTGACACAGGAGAGTATGTGTCCATGCAAGAAAGTTCTTCCTAATTCATGTGGTTTTGTGTTCATCCTATTCATACAAGTGCCACACATTCTTTCAGGTCCTACTGAGCTGTGGATTTAATTTATATTTTTATGGTGGAGAGCGCTGCATGTGGTTTTGTCTCATATAATTTATGTTCATGTTAACTATTTGTGTTTTCACGTTCATGTAACATTCTTTGTTCTTGCACTTGGGAGAGAGAGAAAAGCAAAGCTACCCCTTCTTTTCTCCTCTCAATCTTCTCTTCAAAGAGAGTCACAGCCTCTTCGGACTTTCCTCATCCACACCTTGATCCTTCCTCTCCCCCATGCTTCTCCTTTTTTGACAAAGGGGATGACCCCACTAGGCTGCAGTACTCCAGCCAAAGACCTACAGTTGCTTTGGTGCACAGCATCATAATATTTTCAGGATTATTTTCAAAACCTTCTTCTTCAAACAGCCCGGCACTCCTGCCTTTATCCGCTGCAGCATGCTGCGCAGAGCTCTTCACCCAGGCCATGATGCCATTCAGGGCTTTTTCCCCTGAGTTGTTACACTCGGCATAGACCCGCTTGCTTTCTAAGTCTTGTTTCCACTGGCAGCCATAAGCGGTGCTGACTTTGCTGGTCTCGGGAAGCAATTAGCTGTGCGTGTTGTTCTGAGAAAGACGTCAGGCCCCAAAGCAACCCCTCTTGCCCTGGAACGCTGCTGAGCCAGCCCCACCAATGCGCTTTAATTCCCGGTCCAGCGGGAAGCCATCCCTCGGCTCTGAGTTTCTGCGGGCTGAAGGACGCGGGCCAGCGGCGGCGAGCGCGGGGAGCCGGGCGCTGATTTCCCCTGGCCCGTGGCCACCGGCGCTTTCAGTCGGCCGAACTTCAAAGGGATGCTCGGTGTGCCCAGAGCGGCCGAGAGATGACGCGTGTCTGCTCAGGCTGCATTAAAGATTTCTTCTTTAATGAAATAATGAAACCGGGAGCGTGTTAAGCCCCTGGTTTAGCTGTTGGAGTGGGCACGAACCTGTCTGCACGGAGAGAGAAGGGAAGCAGGTTTTATACACAAAAACACCCATGCTCAGCCGTCCTTTGAGAAGCGGCTTTGTGCTCTGCCAGGCATGTACAATGCCCACTTTCTATTGCAAGTGTTAAATTGGCAAGCGGCCGGCACTCCTCATTTCACCGCTTTTATCCACGGGAGAGCTCGAAAATGCTCCCAAGCCCTAAACTGCTGGATGGGCGGCTGAAGGCATGGGAATACATCCTGGCCCTATTGAAGCTGGTGGCAAGGCTCCCATGGATTTCAGCCATGCCAAGACTTCATCTAGAGAGAGCAAGGAGGGGAAGAGCCATGAATTACAACAACACTGGGCAAAGTTTATGCACCTTTTGATGAAAAAGAGTTAGAAATCAGAGTAGAGAGCATCCCAAACACCCTGAGTGGCTGCTGCCTCACTAAGAGATGTGGTTTAGTGCAAGTCTATGTGCTTGCATGACCTGCCTTGCAGTGGGGGTCCTTGGATACTGCTCAGGGTTTGGGTCCATCCGTGTTTCTAACAACACCTAGTGCGGAGGACTCGCTTCTCATCTTCAGGATTTGCTTAAATATGTTTTTTTCCAAGAGTGATGCAGCAGAGACTGGTGTTGCTCAGTTATCTATGTAACTAATAACAGCTTCAGATTCCTGCCAGAGAACGCATTAGTCTAATTCAATAAAAGCAGTGATAAATAATGTTGATGAATAAGGGTGAAGTTGAGAATCTACTGATCTTAACCTCAAGCTTTGGAGGAGGCAATAAAATAATTTTTAAAATCATTCATCAGAGGGTAATAGCATCAAAGATATTTTGGTGGAAAAGAGCCCCTAGGTTGTTGACTCAGCAATAAAGTTGAAGAGCAGAGGAATACAAGATTATAGTCTGGGCTGGAGTTTGGCAGGAGCACAGATTTAAGTATGAGCAAGGAATGAGTGATGGCAGCACATCAAATAACCAGGGTGAATGCTGCCATTTGTAAAATAATTTGCTTGCGTAAAGGTTAATGGATTTAAAGGAGATTCATCTCACTACGGGACAGTGGAGACTTGAATGAATTTGTGCCAGGCAAAGTCACCTCTGAGAGTGAAAGCATCAGAACAGGAATGGGCGTAGGAGGGAGAGGGTTAAGCCACCTCAAAGGACACATATGGAAACACCAGGAGAAGACGGTGGATGTGGTGTAGTTCTGGGAGAATACTCTGTGGCCCGCTGTCTGAGGGAGCTATTCTGCTTTGTAGGGGTAATGGGTGAGTGGGAAAAGCACAGCTGTGATCAGGAAAGATTACTAGCCTCTTGGAGCCTTTCAGTTTCTTTGATGAGCCAAGCACTTCCATTGGTGTTCATCTGCACAGCTCCACTGCAGTCAGTGGTGTCGCACTGATTTACCCCAGCTGGAGACCATCCCATCGTTCCCTCGCTGCATGAAATGGAAGCAGAGAGTCCTGCAGCCACTGATGGTATGACATGGGATGCATATTTTATCTGCTGTCATAGTGCAGTCAGACACACCAGCCTACCTAAAATGTTGCCTACTGCATCCAGTCTTAACAGTAAGCCAAAAACCAAGCCAGCTTCCCCACAACCTGGTAGTAGCAATCGATGAACCATTTTAGATAGAGCTTTCTGAGCCCTCAAAATAGCACACCTCACATGAGAAATGTCAGGAAGGCTGGAGGTTGACCAAGTTGTATGAGTCTGAAAGTGGGTGACTGCAGTGGGCAACCTCAGCAAAAAAACTTTTTGCTGGTTTGCTAATCACATTAGTCCACCATCAGTTCTAGACTGGTTTACCTGGACAGTTGCAAGTTCATTTACCATGAGCTTTCCTTAAATGATGGGAACTGATAATGTAGTTCTGTTCTGCACAACCCCATGAACAATGGCATGGTAGATAGAGGAGCCAAAGAATATATGAACTAATCTCAAAATAATAAGCTGTACTTTAGAAAAGCATTAAAAAGCCATCCTCACTGATGTGAATATAAAGTTCCAGACTGACTTTTAGGGCAAAAGTAGCTCATCTGATGTGCTTTTGTTCCCCATTAAAACCCATTTTGTGAATAATTTTTCCCTTTAACATTGTTGATTTTGACGCTTGCAGGTTGTTCTCCACCCTACTCCCAATAGCCCAAAGCAATCAGAGTGGCACAAAATGACTGTTTCCAAAAACTGCCCGGATCAAGACCTGAAGATCAAGCTTGCCGTGCGAATGGATAAGCCTCAAAACATGAAGCACTCTGGGTAAACGCTTGTCTTGATCTGAACTCAATTTGTTTTGAATGTGCATTAGAAAATTTCTCTTTTTTGAGATTCTGGAAGAGAAACACTTTTTCTCAAGTTCACTGGAGGTCAAATGAAAGATAAATATAAAAATGGCCTTAGTTCAGTCATTTATAATGCACTTTCTATATTCTTAGCATAGTCTGTTAAATGCATATCAGCCAAACAGTTTAAATTTTAAACAGTATTCCTCAGGAAATTGCAAGGTTATTTTTTTTCCTGTAAGGAAATAATAGGTGAGCTGCCTGACTCTGTTACTGAGAATGGTATAATTTCCTAAGTTATTCTGTGTTTCCCTGTATTGACTTCTCAGAACCAAAAGCACAGTGCACCTCCCACTTGAAATAAACCCCAGTGTGATCGTCATTATTTATACAGAGATACACAGCACAATTAAATAGCAGTTGCCTGGAGTAGAACTAATGATCTGGAAGGTTAAAAGGGAAACCTCTCCCCTCCAGACGTGAGTGTCAGAGGATCTGGGGCCAGGGGGATCCCTGACCGCCACCCCTGGCTTCCACCTTCGTGCCGTGCAATTACAGATTAGATCATCCTTGGGAAGATCTAGCTAATGCCATTGGCAAGGCTTTCCTCTGTTTGCTCCTCAGAGCTGAGGATGTCATAAAAGATAGAAACTGTCCAGAAAACTGTTCTGATTAACTCTTTCTCCGGTATGTTTTTGGTGCTATAAAAATGACTTTGTTTTTACTTTTATTTTCATAGTGTTTTGTTAGATTCAATCCATTATTAGATGGTTTGGATCACTCATCTTTTTTTAAATTCCTTCTCCTCCTCCTCCTGTGTCCTCTGCTAATGAGATCAGAGCCAATAGCCACATGTGGTTTAATTTTTCCACCATGATCACGGACACCAAAAGCAAGAAAGCACAGTTCACCTGTCATATTTACTTCCTTGACTGTAGCTGATAGCAACAGGGCTGAGCAGTCCTGGCTTTTCTCAGGCTTTCTTCAGCTAACATTTGATTTACAAGATGCTGCTTAAAACTATGTGGTTTACAATACCAGCTTGCTATCAGAAGAGAGATTGTCTTCCTGTTGATGTTAGTGGCAATAGCAAAAAGGACAATTATTACCCTGTTCTTGAACCAGACAAGGACTCAGTGCCCACATTAGCATGGCTTGGTGTTTTGTGGCTTAAACGTTCACCAAGAGTATGCTGGATCTCTTCTGGCATAAGGAACCACTAGCATAACCAAAAAGGAATTGTTTTTCTATTTATTGAGCCAGAACTAAAATCATTATAAAGATACATAAAACATATTAGTGCTGAATAATGTCCTTGTGTTTATTATTAGTCTGGTGCTGCCACTATTTTTGCCAATCTTTGTATTACAGTGTTACAGTGGCCGCTTCTTCACAGAGATTAAATGCTAATTTTGACATTAATTTTAAAAGTTAATTCCTCCTTTATAGAAAACAGTAAATTCACTCCTTCTCAGAAATTACTCAGTTTGCTTGAATATCTGTAGCCAAGCGATTTCTAGGAATTCATCTTAAGCTGTTCAGCGAAGTGTCCTGGTTTAGTCCCAGTGGATACTGGGATCCTGGGGACTGGTTTTGATGTAGTAAGTGTCCCTCTGTTCAACAGCTCCCCTCAGCCAAATGATTTTATGAAGGCTTAAAGCAACATTTCGGTTTTCTCACCCTTAATTCTTCCATTGCAAATGTATTCTTCACCCATCTGACTGTGTCGTAGCTATTCACTGGCATTGAAGAGCTTCTAAATTCTGAGCAAGTTGTGAAAGACAAGGAGGAGGAGAGAATTAATATTGTGTAACATTAAGACTCTGGGAGCTTTTTGTGTCACTTTCTTTACAGGTTATTTGTTTAGGCTAGAAATAAACACATTCATGAATGCTGCTGAGCTTAAGAGTCTTGTAATTACTTCTGCTTGTGCATTAACTTCAGTTTCCAGGTGTAAAGAAAACATACTGAAAAACAAGAGAACAACATGTAGTCACTTGTGTGCTGAATTCACCTGTTCTTTTCTCCTAGGTATTTATGGGCCATTGGTAAAAATGTTTGGAAGAGATGGAAGAAACGATTCTTTGTCCTGGTCCAGGTAACAGATTTAACTAGAAGTGATCTTAAATCACAACATGAAATATTTAAATCTTTCCTCTGGCCATATTCAGTGCTTTGTAATTGATGCTGAGCTGTGGTTCTGCGTAGGGTGTCTGTTAAGTCATGGATTTTTTTCTAAATGTATGCATCTTCTCAAGGATATACCAGCTGCAGATCTCTGGCCATGAGTTTCCTGATGCACACGAATACTTGGTGAAGTGGAGAACCAATTTTAGTGAGGAATTAATGAGATGAGGAGGAAGCTCAGTCCATCTTGGCTGGAGGTATTTGGGTGCAAATGCTCCCTTTTGAGCCTCCAGGTAAAATTTGGATTCCGTTGAGATCTACAGACGTTTAGTCACTGGCTACATCAGAGTCAGTATATCGTTCTTGACACTTATTTTGCCTTCATGTTCATTACTGCCTCTCATTATCTACAGCTCTCATCGATCATTTTGCGCTGTCTTTCTTCCTTTTCCCCTTTTTTCTTTTTTTCACTTTCTGCCTTCCCAGTTTCAGTAGGCCTGTATATTTGACCGTGGTTAAGAATTTCAAGGAAACAGGCAGAAGATGTCCTCTGTGACCTAAAAGGATCCGGTCAGTACTTGGTGTGTTAGATCTTCCCTTACCTTCCTAAGGACAGCTGAAACCACTGCATTGGCCACAGAAGTGTGGGGTCCCAGTATGAGCAGCTCCATCTTCACACCAGTCTGATAAAGCCACAGAGTCCTCTTGGGTCCATCTTTCTCTCCCTCCCCTCTGGGTTCCCCAGGGTATGTTGTCTCCAAGTATGAGAAATAAAAGCTTTGTGCAGGGTCCTGTGATGAAAGCAACACGGATGCTCTGATGGAATAACACGGGATCCAGCTGAGATCTTGTGCCAGCACAGATCCGAAGCGATCAGGTCAGAGGGTGAAATCCTGCTGCTGCTGAAGCAGACGGCAGGTCTGCTGCAGAGGGGCCAGGATTTCACCCATGTGTAAGAATGGAGAAGGTGTAAACCCAGTGGACCAGGCTCCCCATTTGGGATGGGGCATGCTTGTGTGCTGGCTTTCCTGTGCCGGTAAGAGGAGGAGTCCACACAGTCCATCTTCTACCTTACACAGCTGGCTTCTCTGGTCCTAAGTCACCTGGTGTAAACTGGTTATTACTCTAAGTTCAGCTGTCTCAGTAGGATGCTTAATTGCATTCCCCATTTCTCCATCGCTGCCGGCCTCCACAGCGCTAAATCATGTGGCAGGTAAGAAAATCCATTCTGGGGAGGTAAAAGGGATTTATGATGTGCGTGACCCATGTAAGTTGGAGCCTATTTGGAGAGTCCAGTTGAGTACCTAATCCAATAACCAACTGTGATCAGCAGCGACAGTTTAAGTGCTCATTTTGTACTCCAAACGGGGTCAAAATGGCCACAGAAGTGGGGGAGTTAGTGTAGAGCAGTCACAGGAGGTGCCTCTATCTGCCCAAGCAGTACATTTAGATTTAGGTAAAAGTGATGTGTTTAGGAGCTGCGTAATCCATTCCTAGAGGCATCTGGTTTGCGATGCACCCTCCATGCAGGGACTGCCAGGTCCCTAGTGGGGTAGGGTGCTTGGCACCTCGCGGGGGAGCCCAGCATCTTGCAGAGCTAGATCGCTGGAGGTAAATCCCAAACTGTCTCCTGGGTAAGAAGTAGCAGAGGCCATAATGAAGGACAGGCCTTCTGGGAACATTATGCAGTGACCCTGTTCTTGGGCAGGGATTGAGGGATTGCTTTTCTCTGTATGTTTCCTTTATTATGTTCTGAAATGAAGTTAAAAGTGCTGTGGCAGTCTGTGATCACCTGTAGAGCAACTAGTATTGCTTTTCCTTGAGAGATGATTCATTCCTATGACACCAAGTTCTCAGTCCCTTTTTCCTTGTGAACAGAGATTCTCCAAAGCAGAGAATCCTCCTTCCTAACATAGCTTCTCCCATAAATAAATCTATTGATACTCTTCTGTGCAAGGGTTTGCAGGTTTGGGCATGGATTCACATGTCTCTCTCAAGGAGCTTTTCTTCTGGCCATTCTCTGTGGTTGCAGTTACTTCTCTAGTTTTCAGTTGCTATATATTCTTCAGCTTGCTGTAGAATTGAAGCTCTCAGAGTTATTCCATGTTTTCTCATGTTACTAGGTCTGTATTCGTCAGTTGGCATATAAGAGCAGAATTTGGCCAGAAAAGCAATTCATTTGAATAAGATGAGCAGACTTTTGCCCCCAGAGAGTCTCTGTAGCCCACCTCAGAAATTCCAGCTGCCACTGCAGCTTCTCTGTTATGTTACCGTTTGCTCAACATTTGGTGCAATGTAAAGTGTTCTGCCGTACATCAAATATAAACAAGAAACACTCTCTATGCAGTCCCTCAGATGTAGTTTGAGCATATTGAACATGTCAGCAGGCAATAAAGATGGAATAAAAATACTTTGCTGTCCGTATGTTTGTCATTTGCTTTTCATGCAATGCAAAGGATGGGTGCTGATATGAACAGGGATTGGCAGCAAAGGTGTTGATGTCCAAGGATGCTCTGAACTCTGCTAAACCACAGACAGAAAATAACCCCCACAGGAAGGTGAGCTGGCTCTGTTCCGTAAAGAACGGACAAGGAGCAGCCGCTGTTTCAGGAGCTCACTCATCTGCACCAGGCTCCTGCTTGCACCAGAACAAGAGATGGAGTCCAAAGCATATAGTCCGTTTGGGATATAGTGGTCTGGTCAGTCCGTGACACTGCCAGGAGGGCAAGGCTCTATGTTCGGATGATAACTAAATGTTTCCTTTCTGATCCCTTGGCTGTGTCCCTTACCTGTAGCATCTTCTGTTGCAGCTCTGTCTCCTCTCCCGTCCCTTGCAGAGTAACCTCCTCCTCCTGGTCCTCTGCCCTCTCCTGCCCCTCTTGCCTCATTTCAGATGGACGCAGCCTCGGTTCCTTCAGTGCTGTTGGGTGGTACCGCTCTGCCTTCCCGTACCAGCGGTTAAGAAATTCATGGTGATAAATGCTCAAACTCTTCATAGCCACCTAAACAAGGCACAAAGGTGCCAAACTGCATGGGCGGCACCAAGGAGGAAGGTGTTGATGGCAGTTTGTCTCTTTTGTGTCAGCGATGCCTCGCCGGTATGAACGGAGGCTTTGCACACGTACGTAGAAAAAGGAGCCGTGCAGGGAGCATTTCCAGTGCTCCTTGGCTTGTGTGAGCCCCGGAGAGAAGGGGAAAGGAGCAATAACTGCCTTGTAATTTGGGTGGAATAATCCCTCGCACCTTCTGTGTCTGTGTAGCTGCGAGGGTTGTACAGGAGCGGAGATGATTTGTTTGGGTGTAGTGGGTGAGAGCGGTTCCTTTGTGCCGTTGCTAGAACCGGGTCTCGCCTCTCCAGCACACGCATGGCTGGGTGGACTTGGTTCAACCCCGCGGGGACGGTTTACGGCATGGCGCAGCCGGCGGAGCCGGTGCGTGTGCTCCTCCAGCATGCACCCGTGAGTTAAGAGGGGATAGTTTTCTCTTCCGAATGAATCGCAGTCCTCTCTGCGCGCTGCCCACCCTTCTCGTAGACACCCTTTGAGATGAGCAGCAGAAGAGCAGAATACTGATTAGATGTAAATTACATGGCAGAGACTCGTTACTTGCCTAATTTTAAATCCTGAGATATGCAGCGTGAAAGTGATGGCAGAATATGGCCCTGAGCTTGGATGGAAATGGTCCGCAGCATCACAAGTGAGGAAAATGCTTCGTAAAGGCAACAGTAACGCCAGTGGCAGTGGTAAGCGAAAGCGGTGGAGCAGTTTAGGGCAAAGTTCTCCGTGACTGGTCAGGAAAGAAAATGTACATCCATCACAGATGTTATAAGTGTTTCCTAAGTTGCTCTATCAGCTGCCTGAGCACAGCTTACAAATTTCAGCCAGTTTGCCAATTAGACCCTTGATGGTGCAAAAGCTGGTATTTTTGATAGCTGACAGAGCTTGTATTAATTCTTTGCAAGGTCTAATGTGCTGTACTGGTAACAACACTATTGTTGGTTCTGGTGGGTTTGCTGGCTTTGCGATAAGAATTTTCTTATAATGATTCTTAAGGGCAAGTGAATTAATTACATTGAGATTTCAGACTGAATCTGCTCTTCTCTTGTCATAACCCCATTTCTGTGCTCTGGCAGCATATGGGAAGTAACACTCCATGGTACCTGGATGACATGTCTGCTGAGTAGCTTGAAGCAGTTTTTGGCTGATTGTGTCTGATGGTGTTTGCAGAATGTTGTTGGAACCAGATCAACTCTCTGCAGATTAAAACCAGTTGCAGTGTCTATGCCTGGATCTATTGTTCTAGTGACAGACTCCCTGAACTCATTATAATTTAGACTAACAGTGACAGTTCCTGCTTTTAGCAAAACTCAGCTGACTCGGGATAAAATGAAATGAAGTAAGTGTTCAGTAACTCCGAATAACCAGCAGAATTTGAAAGTAATTCAGCAAAATTGCAGTGTACTACACCAGCAGTCCTAGACTGTGGGTCCTCAAGTCAAGGTAAATGACCCGTAGCTGGTCCCCATAATCATATTAAATCATGTTTTCAGTTAGACCCTCGCTGAGTACTGGGCATATGTGGTGATTCTTGAGAAACCTCGAGTGTTGATGATAAATACAAAACGTTTGGAAACTGCTGGTTAAACAGATGCCACAGCTCGTTACACCTGACCGGTAGGTCCTGCCCGTCCCGTCTGTACTCACACGGGATGGCTTCCCATCGCTGCCCGAGGAGAACATACGCACACCTCCTGCTTGAAGGAGGAAGTTAGGACAACTGCTATGTGCAGTTGTTTAGGGCTGAGTGGATGTGCTGAGATGTGAAAACTGTTGTTTTCACATTTTTTTCTTTAAGCTAGATCATTTCCTCTGCTCATTTGTGTCAGGAAAGGCTCGGGAGGCAACATACAGCTGCAACCAGAGGACAAGAGTCTCCCATCAAAGTGGAAAGCTGTATTACAGCTGGCAGTATCTTAGCACAGTTTCTCTCCCTTGGGACAAAATGCATGCTGTTAATCTAGGAAAGGTCCATTTAAGATTTTAACCCAAGTGGGGCGGTGTTATGTCAACAGTGAGAAAGGGGGAGGCGAATGACTGAGCTCGGAGTGTGAGGCATGACAATTAACAGGTTTGAGCAGGATCCTGGGGAAAGCGGTACTTGCTAGAGCAGGAGACTCTGGTGGAAAAACAAGGACGAAGTCAGGACTGGTTAATACATAGCTACTGTATTTATTAATCAGTCGGATTATATAGCTGGTGACAGAATATGGTCGAGTGCCAAGAAAGTCAGATCTAATTTAGCAGGCTGGGAATAGTGAACTTTGGCATTTGTCTCCCGCTGTCTGCTTCCCCTTTCCTGAATTTCTTTGTCTTTTTCTCTTACCCCCGCTTTCTTTTCCTTCTGTTCTTTTGTCTCAAATTATTTCTCAAAGCATTCTCCTTTTTTTTTTTTTTGTAATGAACTAGCCAGGGCAGCCTTGGATTATTTCCCTTCTTTTAGTTTTGCTCAGTTCAGCTCCCTTGGATGCTCCTTTTCTGGCCCTCATCGAGTCCCTGGATGAAATCCCAGCTGCTTTGAGAGTTTGTCCCTCACTGGGCAGAGATTTCTCCTCTGTCTTCCTTCAGTTTCCTCTCTGTATCTGTGTTTTTTCCAATTACTCAAACCATTCATCTTGCCCATCCCATCTGCTCGCTCGCTCTCATACTCAGCTATGGTTCGGTGTGAACTCAGCAGGCTGTAGGATTAATTTCTGCTATTAACTGTTTCACTTGTCTGGCCACTTCTAAGCTTCTACAGAAAGCAGGCTCTCTAAAGCACAATATTTTAGAGGACTGATGAAAGGCAAGCTGCAATCTCCACTTGACCCTACACTGCTGTTCAGCAGCAAAGCACGATCGTGACACACCGAGCTTTCCAGAATCTCGTTTTGTCGGGTTTTGCTTTACCACCGCTTGTAAATGGAAGGAGCCACATTGCGCTGGCAGCCAGGGCATCAGGTTCTCTCTGACCCCTAGCAATAAATGCTTGGGGCAGCAGGATAGGACAGACAGGCTGGTATGCCAGTCCTTGAAGTCAGTAGCTCGAGTTGTTTCAGTGCAGGCAACTCTGCGTGACACAGTTGGCACCTTTTCCAGAGGCCATCGATAGCTGTCTCCTCCCTCCAGCCTGATCCTAGCCTGCCTCCTGCCAGCAGGCTCTTGGGCGATCCTGAGCTGGGGCTTCGCGCTTGAGCTGCGCAAGTAGAGAGGTAGGACATGAACCCAGATGAGCCCTGGCTCATCGCACGTTGTGGACCCAACTGTAGGTTTGTTTCTCTTAGAGGTCTCTTCTAATAACGGCGTAGAGCAGCTTCTTCCAAGGAAATAATGTGAATGCTAACAGGAGGGACCAATTTGCTTTGCCTCTGTCCCAGGATGGCTCCACCAGAGCCTACTGTCTACATCTGTCTTTTATAACTTTCAACATGAGAAGTACAAGCTCTGAAATGCCTGCGTGTGTTTCCATACGTTAATGTTGTGCTGGTATGGTTAGCTTACTGATAGGGATGAAGAACATTTTCTGGGTCCAAAGACAAGAGGAATTATTTGTACATAAAGAAGAGCCTGAAATTCAGACCTTATGTTCAGGGTCAGAAAAGAAGCTGAACTACTGAATGAATTTTACCTGTTGCTATAAAGCATACAGGGGAAGAAAAAAACATTAGTTGTATTAATGTTTTCAATCGATGTCAGCATAGGTTAGCACTGACTCATTTCAGGAATTAAATTTATCATGCAGTCCCTGAAGTTCAGGCTGTCTAACACAGAGAAGTCAAATCGTCACCGCTTAGATGAAATCTCCAGGATCTTACCATAAATAAAGCACATTCAAGAGTTTCTCCAGGAGATGGCAGCAATATACTGCAAGTATGACTGAATGAACGCTGCAGGAGTCGTCTGAATGTTGTGCTGTGGGGCACTAGGTTATTTTTAGATTTCTTCGTGTTAATCTTTTTAATTTTTGTGTTGCCGGTACGATGGTATGCATTCAAAGTTCATAGCATAGAATATGCACTGGTGTGCTCCTGCTATTGGTCTGTTACTTGTCAATCTTTCGTCAGCGCTGGTAGTTTTAAGGAGGATGCAAGATGCTTAAAGCATCACTTTTAGTCTTACTCCCACAAATGTGTTAATGATAGGGTTTATTCTTAGGTGGCTTTTGGAGCTGTTCCTGGAGGAAGGCACGGTGCAGGCAGGGCTGCTGAGAGCAGGCTGGCAGCTAGCAGAAGCCCGCAGAGGGCAGCAATAAACCGAGCGCCGGCTGGGAGACACTATGCCAATAGACGGCTTCCCTGACTTCAGTAAATGACATTTTATTAGCGATAGATGCCACCAAAATAGGTGCTGCATGTGTATTTGTAGCCAAGCGATTTGTCTGGAGTTTGGAGGCAAAATCCCCCAGCCCAGCCGCTCGTCCATCTTTCAGGATGTCTCCTGACTTCCAAAAAACGACGAGCACGATCCGTTGCCACCCACCGGAGTTTTAAAGTTTCCTCCAGAGGTCAAGAAAACGTCCAGACGAATAAAATTACGTCAGGCGTCCAGGATGTGACATAACCTTAACAAAGTCATTTGAAATCATTTGACAGTAAATTTCCCTGTGAGTTCCTAGCCTGGGGCACGGAGAATCCTCTCCTCTCCTCTCCTCTCCTCTCCTCGCTGGACGAGCTTCTCGCCGACCATCCAGATTGCAGCACGCCGAGTACGCGCGGGGTCTTGATGCGGCCTGATGGCCTCCTAAAGGCGATTCGGGAGCCTGGCAGAGCCCCCGCAGCTGAGTCGGCTTCCGTCAAGAGCTTGACATTGAATGTATCGTGTCATGCAGATGGTACCTCAGAGGAGTGAGAGCTGCCATTTACAGCACTGATGACAACAACTGCCGAGATCAGTGGGATCTTAAGATTGCTTTAATATGACTGGCACCTAGCAATTTAGCTCACATTGTTTGTGACAGGGTGTCACTCTTGCACTTGTCTGGGGATGAATGATAGAGGGGTTTAAAGCACGGAGCTTCCTCTTCTGGAGGAGACTAAACCACTGTATGTACTGCTGCGGAGAATTAGGTGCCTGCCACAGCAGGGTGTGTTAGGAGCGAGCTTTGCAAAAGCCTGGTTAAAAGTTTAGTCTGTCTCGTATGGGCAATGACCGCCAAAATTACCCCACCACCCCTGGTCCCTGTAAACACGCCGTCAGCACGCGGCATTTGTAAGCGCTTTGGATTGCCTTGTCGTGATCACCCGGTGCCATCTTAGCTTTGTGGTTTTCTTCAGGTTAGTCAATATACATTTGCTATGTGCAGCTACCGGGAGAAAAAAGCGGAACCTCAAGAGCTGCTGCAGCTCGACGGATACACTGTGGACTACACCGACCCGCAGCCAGGTACGGGGCCGACAGCTCGCTGCTGCGCCCGCGGGCGCTCGCGCTCGCCACGCTGCGTACGGCTCCCGAACGGGAGCCCTCTCTCAATCTCCCCGCTGGCAGCTGAACTGTGATCAGCGTTATTATAAATATGTTTGTGTTTATACTGATCATTAGCTATGCATGACTTTACTATAAATAGGTCTAAGAAATTGAGGTAGGAGTTGCACCAGAGGAGGGAAAGACTCGTCTTCTCTGGGGAGCCTAAGTGAATGAGATGCTGAAATCCCAATGAAATTTGACTGTGAACTGAATGCTCAAATCGAGTGATGATCCTAGCCTCTGCCTTCGGATTATATTCCCTAAATAAAAGGTTAGCAGCTATGCCTGTCTTCATTGTAGAAAACATTGATGGGACCAACCCAGCACTTTTGCCTGTCCCATTTTCTTTCTCATAGATATAAGTGAGTGGAAGGGGCAGGATTAGAAACTCCCTGGTGCCTGGCGGTACCTGTCATGTGGTGAGAGCCTTCTTCAAGTGGAGGAGCATCACATTTCTTTTATTTCAGTGGGGCAATACGTTGACCGTGGTGATCCTCACCATGCCCTGGGTAATGGTGTCCCCAGAGGAGATGAAGAAAGACACAGTAGGTTGGTTGTCAAGACCTTGATTCCAGGTTAATTCCAGTGTTAGGGAGATGGGAAGATGGATGCCGAATCAGGGCAAAGACAGAAATAAGCACATCACCCAAGCACCTTTAGTGCAGTGTGAGCACTGGTGCGCTCACTCTAATGGGAAACCTCCCCCCACCTCCCCTCAAAACCCATTTTTAATGCAATGCGACCTGCACGGGACCTGCACAGACGGGGCTGTAGGTGAGAGAAGCAATTAATCCGAGTGTGTTGGGGCGTGTTTCAGTAATTGCGGTGCAGGGTGCTACCTGGGGACCTGGCGGGCTCTCTCGCAGGTGCATTTGGTGCAGGCGAGGGGACTGAGCTCAGCCAGGAGCCAGGGGCAGCGCCGGGCTGGCTGGGGACACCCGGGGCGGTGGTGGGGTGGGAAGCTGGGGGAGATCCCCTGGCTGGCCTCAAAGTCTGCGAAACTCCATTGTTGCTTCCTCTCCTGCCAGGTTTGGAGGGCGGCAGAGCATTCTTCAACGCTGTGAAGGAAGGAGACACGGTGATTTTTGCAAGTGACGATGAGCAGGACCGTATCCTGTGGGTCCAGGCCATGTACCGAGCCACCGGCCAGTCTCACAAACCTGTGCCGCCTACCCAAGTGCAAAAGCTAAATGCTAAAGGAGGAAATGTACCCCAGCTAGACGCCCCAATCTCTCAATTTTGTAAGTAAATAAATTCTCCTAGAGAGCAGAAGTCTTTGATGGAAAGATTTTCTGCGCTGATGTAAATCAATATTCGCACACATGTTTCTGACTCCAAAATGAAATTTTTTTCATTATCATTAAGGTGCTTTTTACATCAGTGGATCCAGAAGCAGTTAACCTGTGTGTTTAGCACAACCAAACCCAAGAAACAAAATTCTTTAAGGAACTTGTCAATGAGTATTTTAAAGTGCAATACTTGATGGAGGAGAGACTGGGATCTGAGAGCCTGAGACCCAGCTTGCTTTCTGCAGACACGCGTTTTACCCCCACACAATAAACTGCACACCCAGATCAGAGCGATTCATTAGCGCCATTAGCTGTCTATCAAATGCATCACGTGCTCAGAACTACAGGTGCAAATCTTGCAAGTATGAAATGCACACACAAAAAGAGGTCTCCTGTTGAATATTCAACTGTAGGAAAACATATGGTATTTTTAACAGGTTGCTTTGCAGGCCAGTTAGATGTGAATTTAAAGCAATCATCTTTTAAGTCGTAGCTATGCTGCATGTCCTGTGCAGTTATACCCAGTTTGCTTAATTTGAAATTTAGAGCAATTTCTTTTGTCTTGCAAATGCAATGTGATTATAAACCAGATGAATGCCTCCTCGCTCATTTTTCTTGAAGGTCTTGATCACACGTCTGGAGCCCCTTTGTTATGTAACATACAGTAGTTCTTGCTGATTTCAGCAAAATTTAAGAATTAGTATCATTAAATATAAGACAAATAAGAAAAAGTGGTAAATAGTAGCAAATTCTTCTAATTAAATCAGATTTTAACATTTAAAATAGTCTCTGTAAAGCTGTTATGGAGCATTTTGTTGTAAGGGACTCCAAAAATCTGCCCCTTGCTTATCAATGTCATTTGACCATCTTTTATGTTGGTTTAACTTCTTCATGTCAGTATTTATAGAAAATAACAATGCAAGACATACAGCTGTACGATCAACGTTACAGCAGAAAACCTCTGCTTGCTGCTTTTTTTTTCGTATCCTCCACATGCTTGTATATTTTGGACTCCCTTCTCCCTGTCATTACTGCTCCTGTCAGTGAGGACGTAGCATGATGCAGCATGGTAAACCCATAGTCAGTATTTTCATTTCAGTGACGCTCATCCTCTTCATCCCAGTCAAGTCTCTGACTTTGGGGGTGCAAGGTGTAAAGTGTTGGAGTTGGGAAGGAAGGATGCCTCTCAGAAAGCCAAAATGGGACGTAGGAATTGGGGTCTTGCAAGTGGGAAGTTTATTGGCTGTGATTAGCCTGTAGACCTGGCTGAGTCGTGCTGACCCGAGAGCACTCCCAGGGGTTGTGTGTCCCTCTGCCTGGGATCTTGGATGTAGCAAGCACAGGTCCTTCTATGGCTGCTTTTTTACATGCTAAAAGTCTTCAAAGTGTAGCAAAGGAGAGTGGCAGAGGGATGCTGCTTGTGGCTCCCTCTCCTAATAAGCAATGCTGAGGGATGCTCTTAGCTGTGTGGTTGGTGCGAAGAGGATGCGCTCCTGCTCGTCCCAGCATGATCTCTGTGGATTAGGATAAGGGCAGTGAGAGAACATCAAACTGGGGAAGCACCTTTCCCTCCAGTCTTCTCCCATCCCTGCAGACATCAGGCCTGGAGAACTTTTCTGCTGGGTAAATTCCTAATGTTTACGGAGTTTTCACTTTGCCAGACCAATATGTGGGGTCAGGTGAAGGGTCCCTTTCCCAAACACGTGGTAATTGCCTGGCAGCAGCTGTAGCAAAGTTTGCCAGGAGTTTGGGGAGGGAAGGGGGATGCCCGGGGCCATGGACCCTTGGATGTGCTGTCCCCACACACAGCCAAGCGCTGTGTGCGTGGGGAGAGCTGAACCCCCCCTGCTGAGGTTACCTGGGATGGAGAAGAGGCAGCTGAATTGTCCTAGTCCTTGCCAGGGAGCAGTGAAGTCGGTGACTGAGCCCAGGAGTCCTCTCTGCATCTAACCACAGCCCAGCACGTCCACCGGAGACTTGCGCTGCTCGTGGTCCTGCAGGCTGTATCAGCCTGACTGTGCTCGGAGCTAGAGAAATGCCACAGGTGTGACCTTGGTTTTTCCATCTCACTCACCTGCCAGGAGGCAGGGATCCCTCATAAAACAGCCGAGATTTCACCCCGTGGTCCCTCCACGGCATCTGACGGGGTCAGGATCTGACCTCAGTTTCTCTTGCTTGTTCTCATGCCAATACCAGCTCCAAATCTGGATCATTCAGCTTTTTTTTATGCTACCACCCTCTTTCCATCCACAGTATGTTTTCCCCGTAAGCTGGGCAGCTTCAGGCTCCCCTTTTTGCTGTAAGCACTGGGAAACCCTCTTGGTTGTGTTGTGCCAAAGCCTGGCAAGGGGAAACCAGTCAGCTCATCAGTCTGATGATGACTTGCTACTTCAGCACCCTCTGGGCTAGTGTGTTTTGTCCTCAGTTCTCCTTCTTCCTCCTCCCTTGGATTTAGATCCCTCTGACAGCTCTTTGTGCACAGGACCTTCATCCTACAAGAGGAGGAGGGCAGCATGCTATGGTAGACCTTCATCTCAACAGCAAGGGCGACCCTTTTTTCATATTTCAACATTCGTACGTGGCAATGCTCCTTGCAAAAGTCATTGGGCACAGCAGTTAAATAATCAGAAGCAGAAGTGAGTCATTCATGCCACACATGATGGCTTGTCGGGAGTCTTAAATACACAAATACATATCTCAGCTTCTTCAGTCTTGAAATTCAAACATATCAAGTATTGCATTTTTAAAAGGGTCTTGGTTTGTTACTGGGGGTTTTTTTGGCTTGGGTTTTTGGGGGGGGGGGGGGGGGGGGGTTGCCTGCAGAAAGGTAAGGACTTTCATGAGACATTTTATTCTTGTACATTTATCTTTATACCTGTCATATTTTTTGTGCTTATTAGAGGTTATGGTGAATGAGGATGTGCAAAGAAGTAAATGTTAAGCCATTTGATGAGTAACTGTTGTTACAGCTTTCATGTTGTAGCAGTCTGAGATGGCACATGCGCATGCATGCACATGCAGAGAAAATCCAGCCCTCCGCTCCTGTGATGGAGCTGTCTGTTAGAAACTTGAGAAGAACAGATTTTACTTTGGGGGAAACTTGGGAGAAATAGTGAATTCATTTGGTTCTCACCTCTTTTAACTTAGTAAATACAAACTTTGAGTAGCACTCAAATTCTTACCCACAGTTCGATAGCAGCGCTTGACTTGGAAGTAAACAGACAGCTCCGAACCAGGGTGGAGTTTATTTTATTTGCAATTTAAGTACCGAAAAAAATAGATCCTGCTATTCATTAATTTTTGTATGACTCTACAATTCCTTTTATGTGGGTGAACAATACCTGTTAGAGTGAAAAGTTTTGCTTTTTTTGTTTTGCTACAATTTAAAAGAAAAACTCCATTCACGCAAAGCTGTGCTTTTCTCCAATGTTCGCATTATAAAAGAAAAACCCAATCCTGTTCTTGTTTACTGTTGAAATCATGCACAATATTATAGTCAATAATGCTGCCAATACATATTACACCTTTTGGCAATATTTAAGCTTCATAAAAGTGGTCACTTGTCTGAAAGCACCAATCTTTGTTCGTTCTGTGTTAGTGATGCATCAAACAAAATTCCCAAACATGCTCAACGTTCTTTTTTTTTTTAAACCCTTTTCTTTTTAACATGAAAGATTGGTCTGTACTTGTTTTACGTATCACTTGTGGTTATATTTCATTTTTTAATGTCTGTTTCTATATATATGACTGTTAATCACACCATATACAAAGAGTTGGTTGTTTTGAGAATTTGTGATGATTTGTTCCCCCATAATAAGTAGCGAGGTTTATTGAGCTGCTTAAGAAATTTTCAGCTGTAAGTGGTTTTTTTTTTTGGTTGGTTTGATTTTTCTTTAAGTTTCTTTTTCATTCTTTGCTTGAACCCAAATATTTAGCTGCTAGGTTAGGGCTCCTGTCTGCTTTCCTGAGCCTTGTTGCTAGTCTTTATGTTATTCTGGTTTGTTCCTTCTTACCCTGCTAACTTCTAGCTGGACTCAAGGGTAAGTGCTTCCCTGTAGCTAGCACAGCTCAGATAATCAGACTAGATTATCTGACATATGCAATGTGCTTTTTTTTCTCTTAAATCTTTCTCATGTTTAGATTTTGTAGTACAAACTTTCCATGTTATTTTCCTGAATTGAGGTTTGAAATGTAAGTTTCCATACTGAAATTAGGATGCATGTGATGTTTGCATAATTGCCTTCTCTCCCTGGCTTTCACATTGGCATCAAGTGATCCTCTTAGTAAAGCCAATCATTAACATTTCTATTTTTCATTCCAAGATGTAAATATTAATTAACATCACAATAAAACTGTAAATAATACCTTCTTTTGTTTCATGGAATTTACATCTAGTTGACTGCTTCCTGCCTGAAAACAGATCATTTTGCACTCTGACAATATCCTTTCTCTCCGTGCCGATGATTAGCTGGGTGCAGCGCACCAGCGTGCGGGGCTAACTGTGGACACCTCGAAGGGCAGAAGGACAGGGCAGGAGACCCCAAGAGATCTAGACGAGGTGCAGGACTCCACAGGAGCCCCCCAAAAAACCCCTCCGCACATGCCTTGTGAAAACAAGCCCGAGTCATCGAGGTTTGGTAGTTCCCCCTCCCGTAAACTCGGTAGGGGATGATTTCGGCAGCAAGCGGCAGCTCTCTGGGTCACCCCGGGTTTGGGGATGCTGACCCGCTCTGACTTAAATACATTAGTCACGGAGGGGTGCTGCTGTTCCCCCAAATTATGATGAATTAAAGTTTAGCGTGGGTCTCAATCACCAATCAAAGCAATGCTTGCCAAAGAATAAACCAGGGGAATTATTATTTTGCCTTTTCCCACTGGAATACCTACTTTGAAAAAGATAAAAGCCCAAACTTGTGCTGTAAAAGAGCTTCTCCTTAGTCTTTGTTCAGTCC